CGCAGGCGTTAGCCAGCAGGCCACTTTCTCGTCTTTTGCTACTATTTTACGAACTGGGTTACAGGGGCTGGGCCCAAAATTGGGGTCGTTGTAATAGAAATATATGGCTTTTGCTATCGTCGTACGTTGAAGCTTAGCATTCGCTTTACGCCAATGGAACAACATTTTGAGTATCTAAGACATCACTTAGCGGGGTTAACAGCGCAAGACTATGACACGCTTCACAACCTCGTCTCCTACCAAAGAAACTGGACAAATGTTGAAACTTTTTTAGCAAAAGTAAATCAAGCCCTTCGACAGTTACAAATTGCATTAAGGCAATATATTGATGCCGGTATTGCAATCCAACGAGGTTTGGCTCTATTTAGTGGGCGCTCCTACCCTGCTAACGCTGGAGAGCCTGAAGGTGGCTGGATATGAATGTGAATAACATCTCAGCTTGCGTGAGGAGCTTGTAAGTCTAGCGACTTGTTCCTGTGACGATGATTGAGAAATTGATGGCGGGCAGGTCGCAGATTAGACCTTTAAAGGATATGTAACAGCGAGCTTGTTGGTTTCCTTGGTTGCGCATAGCTCCACTTCTATGGTAGCATAGACCCATTTCGGAGTCTCTTCACCGAGCCCAGGCGTCGCACAGTTAGCGTAGCCACGGTCTCATTTATTCTCAAGCAAGAGCCCTCGCAGGCCATTCAGGCAGGGTCTCGTTTTCTTCTCTCGCAAGACAGCTGATCTTCAAGGGTGAAGGACAAAACTTGTCCAATGCAAAATGGAGTTCAGACTCGTGGCTCGTTGAGGGTTTCAAGGGAGAAATTCTGGCTTAGTATAGGATCGGCTACCCTGGTAGCCGTGTCCAGCCAAAGATTCGATATGTACATACATGCCACGTTGAAAGGACATAGCTGTTTATCGTTCACAATCTGTAAGAGTACAATTTAGGGATATAGTGAACTAAAAACATAACCCAAATATATGACCCTTTAATAAGTAACGGCTTGATAAATGAGTTCTGCCCTATACACGGTATATATTGGATGTAAGTCAATAATGATGATAATGAATCTTGACCTGGATGCCTTCCTTTCGGACTGCCGCGATGACGAATTGCCTCCAGCTGATTTCGAAGTTGCCAACCCTTCAATCGGCCTGCGCTGTTGACCAGAGCCGATGGATTTGCCAGACCAGCCCAATGGCGCGTCGATAGAATCTCAGTTTAATACAGTCCTGGCAGATTTTTGGTCTTGGGACTGGGATGAACGTTGGCATCTTCTGGTGGGATTGCCGCCAGTTGAATGAAAAGCTGGAGCAGCCAGTGGGGTGATCAAAAAGCAAGTGGAGATAAAGACGGAAGAGGCAAAGAAGATGAGGTCAAAATTAAACTAGAGTAAGTTGAGATTCCAATTGATTACATGTGAACTAGTGAACCTTCCAACCCAAGACTGAAGGTGCGGTGAGCAAATCCAAAACCATGGTTGACAAATTTGTGGGGATGTTAAGAGCGTGGGCTACCGCTGTACAATCACGTGTAGAGAATGCTAAAGAATAAGATAGCTTATAAATACATACTTGAAATAAATTTCCTATGCATTCAAAATACCGCCGATAACTGGTTTATAATAATAATCAAAATTAATGGAGGAAACCTTTGGCTTCACGAATAGACACCTTTTTAGTATAGGCACCTTTACTTAGTTGCCTAAGCTTAGGTTAGGTGCTCGAATAGTGCTCCATACAGGTTTATTATCCCGATGTCCCCAATGTATTGTACAAATCTGTTCATCTTTAGCTGAAGCATATGTAACTGTTTCCACTTTCCTGTGATGGACTCTAAGCATTTTATAGGATTGATTCACAACCACACCTACATTATTGGTAGCTATGCCAGATATTGTAATTCCCCCTAATGATAAGGGCTTATAATGAAAAGCTTCCCAGGTATAAAGTACAATTCAAAGGGGCTTGAGGAGAGGTTGCAGAATATATACATTATGGGCCCGTCAAGATTACGACGACGAATGGTTCCATTTTGCCAAATGGTGGCTAAAGAGGAGCGTGGTTTTGTCTGGGAAATTGTTGTGCAAGCTTGGGATACTAAGTCCTTAGAACAGTTTCCTCCAACCATACAATCTCCTCTATTTGGTGATATCAGCGCTGGTGTTTTGGAGGTTCTATCCCAAGCTGCAAATATCAAAAAAATCCGGTAATGGTAGAATACCTCTAGGTACTTAGAGGCATGTGGATGTCTATTTTAGATCTTGACCCAAGCAGTCTAGAAACCTACTCTGGCTTAGAGGAGAAAGGCTGCAAGAGCAATGACCTGTCTTCAGCTTTCTGGGCAGCCTAAACGGCCCTTTCGCCTCCCATTCGAGCTGCTAGTTCGGCACTCTGAGTAGCAGTTGCCCTCCATCTACGGAGGTGACCCTGTCTTTGCCTTGTACGTAATTGAACCTAATATGGACTGCCGCCATTCAGAAAGTGCCTCTATTCTCTTAAATATTTATCCATAAACGCCTAGACATATTCAAATTGCGTAAATGACTCCCCTACAATGCTCGTGTTATGGTCGTTAACGGGCAGGGATCTCTTGATGTTCAAAAAGACAAGAAGGTGTTTGGCTCAACCAATAACAGCCTGTAGCTTTGACTTCAGGACGTATCTGAAACATTCCTGTGGCAATAACGCAATAAACGGCTTTGACTCACCTGTTCGACGCCTGTCGTTGACCGAAAGTTTCCATTGTAGGCCATAGAAAATGTTCCTAAATGGCTGTTTGTGGTAAGTATGACTGTGCAGGCCTCTGGGTTGAAAAGGGAAAAAAAGGAAGGCTAATACCTGCGTGTCTCAGCTAGCTTCTCGGGGCTCCACCGCGTCACACAAAATGATAATGTCCTCAATTCGGGCCGTAAAACTTGCTCTGTACACTCGCTTACCTAGACACGACACACCATGCACTACCAAATGGTCCGGACTTGACTCAGGCCCCAGAAACTGGTCACCCGAAGCCCTCAAATGATAAATTGTTCAGTAATTCACGTCATATCGATCAAAGGCCCTTGTTCAACGTCACTACTCGAATAATTATCAAGCTATGAGTTCATTACAACTAACTGGATCTCAACTGGTACAGATGCATCAGGAGCTTACCAATATAAAGCACAGAGTATCTAGCGAAATATTCGAACTAGATGATGTGTTGACTCTCATTGACATCGTTGACCTTATTTTTGGTCACTCCGAGAGTCTTGAGGATATGCTTCTTCAAAAGGTATGCACGAGACTGTATACCCTTAGAATCTCGTTGCTAATGTGTATCAGACTTCACCCTCTAAAGCGGACTACGGGGTAGTTCCATGAGATACATACGGCAAGGGAGCTGAAATTTTATGGACTATAGTAGACTTATTTACACAGAATTGCTAGTAGATCGCTTCGCTTCAATCTTTTCTTGCCCCCTACGAGAAATCTTAGCGACTCCTCGTTGCGCATCCCATGTCTGTAACCTCTCTTTACTGAGCTTTTGTCCCCTAACCCAGCGGCCTGGACTTCAGAATCCTAAGCCAATGCTAATCCTTATCTCTCGTCTCATCCTAATAATTCTACGTTTCCATGAATAAAATAAACACAGAGAGTTTCGGCTACAAGTGCAACTATTACTAGTTTGGCACTAGAACAAGCTCCGTGAAGGTGAAATCCAACCGCGCATATTTCTAAGAAACGATAAATAGCGACCCATATACCGGCAATTAATACAGGGTTAGGGGGATTGCGAGGGCGTGAGTGTATTGCTTGAGAGACAGGTGGGCTTGCATTTGACTGGCCTACTATCTATCTCCCTTCCTTCCTCATCCCAGCTGTGTGTGTAACCCCGTGCGGTGTGCTCGTGAGCTTCCAGCTAGAGGTTACGGCGGTTTTGGTTGCTATTCTGCAGCGAAATACATCTTCGAAGAGGAATAGCAGCCAGTGGCTGTAGTACTTCTTGACACTGCTTGCAATGTCATCATCTAAGCCCTCCTCTTCAAAGTGCTCTTCAAAGAATCCCGTTCTCTTAAGAACGTGGCTGCTGAACCTAAGCTCGGCAAGCAGCTCGATTAAATTGAGATCTAAAGGATGCTAAGTTTTAAATGGGCCTGCTGCCTTGGTAGCGCTTAATAGCTAGTCATTATTGTTATCAATCTTAGGTAGCCTAGGGATTGATGACTTGATAAGCTTGTGACCCCTCTAGTAGTAGGCACTACTGGTTTGACTTGAGCCATCTTGATATCGGTGTGTGCCTTCAGTGTGCTGATGATCGTAGTTTCAGGGCCGATTAGGCGAGACGCAGGCCTGACTGGATCTTTAATCTTAAGAAGGGCTTGACGTGTGTGACGATGAAGGCAGCAATTCGCGAGATAGACGGGATATGAGATATTGGATGGGCTTGGGCTGTGTTGGTCAGTCAGCCCGGGGATTACAGCCTTGAAATAGAAGGAAAGGGGAATTTTAGGGTTCATGAAGGGAGTCGTGTAGCCATGCAAAAAGCCCTGTTTGATGATCTAGCAGAACATCTATATTTGTATCATTCTGAGATGTTAGATTATTTTAGTAGATATCGTATCAACTTGTATGTACATATTTATTAATGAGTCTGGATGACATAAGTCTAGTTTGTTATATGTTTAGAAATAACATAACCCCTGCTAGAATAGTTATCTAAAACTTGCGACACCCATTCCTCCTTTTGCTGTACTGTATGTACATGCACTGTACGAACTCTGTGAAGATTATGTTTATATGGCTCGAGGCCCTGAATTAAGGCCCCGGGGCCCAAATCCGGCAACCTAGGCCCATTTTATGGTCATTCGTAGCGCTTTCGAAGCGTAAATGCCTTTTTTTCTTCGGGGTAGAAATTAAGACTGGTCCTTAGTTTCGTCCTTTTCATTTACTGGCGAAGGATATAAACATTCGTTGAACTAGGCCTAGTTGTTCTTTGATCCTCACAACGATAGAACTATCTAAGACAAGACATGGCTCAAGATAACTCCCTGAACAATTCTGAAAGTCAAGCAGGACAGGACTATAAAGATGAGATAACGCAGGAGATAAATGTCCTAGAGGATCAAACTTCTGGCATAGCAAACCCGGATTTGCTACAGACACTTAAAACTGCCATGGAGCAACAAATAACCGATGATGCCATGAATGATATAAGAGCTATGATTACAGACAACTACTATGCGCATTTCCGAATCGAACTCGACAACGCTGGCCGTGAGGAAAATATTCGAAAATTCGCTTTACTATGGCAGGCGCTACAACCGGAGTCATTCTCCAAACCAAATTTTGTTGAACTAAATGAGATGTTGAACGGAAATCATGAGTTTCATGATGTGGAAGGAATAACAGCATTCTACAAATTCAAAATCGACAACCAAATCAAAATAGCCGAACAAGCCGGAGACACAGACACCATCGCCCTTTTGTACGAAGCTATGCAAGAACCCGTTATCAAACAAGAAACAATGATGCACCTAGAAAATGCGCTTAGAGCTAAAAACGTAAAATCGGAACCGGTAACTTCTCCCAAGGGAGTAACATTCACTGGAGTCAATAGACTTCCTGTGAAAGGGTTGGACCCGAATCAAGGCCCCGATGTCGGCGGAACTAGTCAAAGGCACTATGTCCAAGGAACTGAGGAAGATGATCAATTTCGGGATAATGAAAACATAGCAGCACTAGTGACACTACCTGGACGAGGAACAAACTCCAGTTGTAAGACTGTCGGTTGGATCCCAGGGACATCGAAAAACAAAACGGCCTACGCCTTCATTAACAGGTATGGGCCCAAGAACTCCGCAATATATCGTCTTCAAACATTCGCAAGTGTTGGTTACAAGTATCCAGAGTCGGAAAAAGTGGATAGCTCACAAAGTAACGCAAGTCATCTACAGAACCCCGGTGATTATCTTTGCGCGATATATGCTGTTGCTTGGTTCGGTTGGAAGGGTAAACCCGTTTCGGAGGCTGATTTAGAAATACTAGATCCTGATAGTGACGACAAAAATTTCAAAAAGAGGACGCTTGTGCAGGTGGCTTGGCGTTATGAAGATAACACTATAGAAAAGAGTTGGGTCATTAGGGGAGTTATACGAAATGCATGGGGCCGTGAGTATGCTGATGGCCAAATTTTCGAGGCTGCAAAAGTAGCTGAGAAACGCCACAATAAGTGGGAAAATAATGAGCGTGAGGGGTTCGAAAGATCACCCTCCGCTGCCTTATTCGAAAATGGCCCCAACCAGCGGACCAGATCCGGATCCAGGAGACTATCAGCAAAACCACCTCGTTCAGAGTCTATTCAATCCTATCGATACCCACACTCTTCAGCACCTGATCTCACTTATGAATCTGATGCATCTTCCGATTCCCTGTACCAGTCTCGCCATTTCTCCAAACCCGCTCGGCAACAGACACTCCGGGAGACACCATCTTCTATGTATCAACCCGATTTCGTCAATTCGTTGTCTCGTTCACCTTCTCCCCCGCGTTATTCAACTCGGTCTACTCGTCAGCGTCCGGGATTAAGAAAGCCGACGGGAGAGATGGAAGATTTCCTTCAAGCATGGATGGAAGCGTTATCCTTGCAGGATTTTCAGAAACTAACCAACGAAAATCGGACGCGGTTTGTAGAAGATTGGATGTGGCGAAAGCAGCACTTAGGGTACGAGGGAAAGAGTAGCTATCGTAGCCACTAAGCTTGTTATCAAAGTGAGATCTCATAGTTGCGTTATAGTATCGCTGAGGCGGCAAATCAGAACTTAGACTAGTTTAGAGGATTTCTCTTCTATATATATACACTATAGTATATATACTAGTACTTTTCAATAAATCGTGGATAAGACATCTAGGTATAAGCCCACTCTGATTCTCGAAATCAAATCCCGAGAACCATAGTTCAATATCTCCTTCAATATCATTATCATATTCAATTCTATTATTTAAAACTATTACCACCATTTGGAGAGTACTGTATTCCTATGAGTTCTCTAAAACTAGGATTTCCAATCACGTCCAGTGCTTAGATCATATGATATTACTATGTCGAATGCCGGGCACATACTCGTCTTCTTCAGTGCAGATCGTCGCAAATTTATTTACTCTTCCTGCATTTGTGTTATGTACCTAGAGTCGGCGGTTTATATGACTAGAGCGGATAAGGCTTTAGAGCCAGTCATAATCTCACGACTGCAATGTTAAAAAGTCTTCGTTCGAGCACAACGACCAGCTATGCAACTTCTCGCTCCATGCTTGAGCCCCGACCCACGCTTCTTGGGAGTGTTTCAGTATATCTGTAGATTGATATATTGCGATTAAGAATACCACAAAATTTTGGATAGCTTGTCCTCAGTTTGCTAGAGTGACATAAGGTTAGAGCCATAATATGTAAACCACTAGCCAGCCCACCGGTAGGGACTGGATCTTGACCTTTTGATTACGGAGTCATATATATATACACACACATATATATGTATATACATACATTCTTCTGGCGATTTGATAGTGGTTTAGGACTAGACCGCGTCGTGCCATCTTCCCATCAGGCTGCCCAGCCTTGACCGTGTGAGAATCCCCGCTAGATAAAGCCAATGACTGGAAGGTAGATCGTTGAGTAAATGTAAAGATCATAACTCAAGTTCTGCGGGCTTCAATCCTCCTGGATATCTCGGTGGTTGACGATATCTTCCTATCGGTCCGACAGTGTCGGCGACAGCCAGTTATCCAGGCTGTAGAAGACATCCTGCGTGAGAATACCGATGCGCATATATTTAGCATGGATGGTCGCGGGATTGCCTTAGACGATTGTGTGAATGTGTGAATGTGGATTGCATATTGATTGGTCCGAGGGTAGAAGAGGAGGAATTGTAGAAGGGTGTGCTTGAAGCTCTACTTGTCTGGCCTCCTTTGCCCAGCTTTCAGAATCCGCCGCCCTCTTTAGCATCCCCCTCTCTCATAACTTCCTGGGAAGCCAACTTGCCTATCCCTCCTAATATAAATGTATGAACAGCGCTTTTCCAGAGTGTACGCCCTTGTTCAAGAGGCCACAACCGCGGTTTGGGCAACTTGGCTGGCTTTAAAGTCCACTGTCCTTTAGCGCCCAATGTCATTCAATACTTTCCCGCTATCACAGCTGCAACTAACCATCAACATCTAGACCCATCTATGAGTCCAGTCGTTGCACTTGTTTCCCGCCTCTGCGCGCTTACTAAAATGAAGCCTCATGCCCAGCTTGCAGTGTCGTTGATCATTCCCCACGCTTTCCTCACCTAGTCTTCCCAGGTACTAAAATGGTGTTCAACCAAGATATGAACAAGCACCGAGAGGCAGGTTGCGCTAGAGTTACTCCGGACAAAAAAATCGTTCATCAAGTGTACCCTTCGGCGGCTGGATGACAACGACCGCCAACTGGACGCCATCCGCCTACACCTTTGAGGACGATGGGGCTTTCAACTTCAGTACTAATTTTGGGATATTCTGACATGACCCAAGTTTTGGATTCGCATCCCCTAGCCCGGGAAGGAAAAGTTATTATCCGACTAGAAGCACAAATTATTAAATAGATTTTCAATATACAGTATCACACAAATCAAAACTCACATTAAGTTTATGTACTAAGGGATGTGAGGCCTCATTTATCAAGCACAATAATCAATGAATTTCAAGGAAGGAAGGACTTTATCTTATATCTCGTTGATGCTGTTCAGCCATTTAATTACACAAAGGAAAAGTTGGGGTTGTCACGTGAGTATAGTTATTCCTACTAGGATTTTAATCGGGCTACAAGGCCTCTTCCCGATACCGGAACCACTTCAACTATGTTCCTTCAACCATACATCCAATCCCAGAACTAGGACCACTGAAAGCCCAAAACGTGGGCTAATAAAAGCCATGTTTAACCCAATGATCTAAATTAGGAACACAGTCCTACATATGCTCTCAAGATACATAAAGTAATCAAGAACTTAATCCGATCGCCTCTGATGCTGTTCCTTCAGAAGCCTTAGCTGCTCTATGAAATGCTAAAAGCCTGGTGTTGCCTCTAGTTCACTATGTTTTCCTTTATCACGCCTTCCTTCCAAATTCATTTTCTTTGAGTCTTTGAGTCTTTTTGATCTCTCGGCTTTATAAGAGATTTCTTCTTGGCTTCTTCGTGCTTTTTGCGCTCTCAGGAGTGGATCGACGTGGCCGGTAGAAGTAGGAAATCGCTCGGTTGGAGTAGCAGACTTAAACTCAAAGTACCGTGTTTAGTTATTAGGCCGGGTTGGAGTATTAGTACATTGGAAGTCAGGCGTAAGCTCAAACTCCCTTGCTGAGTCAAGGTCGGCAACAGAATGTATGTCGTTCGGTTGTATTTGATCCATTATGGTGCTGACCGGGACGAGCTTGAAGAGGCTATCCCAGCCTATGTACAGCCACATATCCTAGGCTTTCCCCTGAGTTCCGTCAAGGGCCACCATCAAACAGTCCTTCATGCTCCGCCTTCTTCAAGGGTTACACCGAGTCGTAGGTAACTCTATGAGCAGAGGTCCCTTAGTCTCGTGTGGGCATATAAGAAAATCGTTCCTGACAAGCCCAAGTCTCTGTAATTAGTCCTTCAAGAACCCTATAGAGAATTCCAAGGCGGTGAACCGAGTCTATCACAGCCTTATCACTAGTAGCTGTCTCATCCGATCGTAAGAAGTCCTCTTGTATCCACCTTGAACATTGCTCTGCATGGGGAAGGATCCTCTGCTGCAGAATCCAATACTCTTTCGTCTCTCGGCCTGGTACTAAACGACCGACCAATACAAGTGCCAGGCGCGCAAAATCCCTATTCTTCTCGTTGCTGTCCAGATGCAGTACCCATCGATGCACTACTGGGTGCATGGCGTAACTTCCGCTGGGTTCTGCTTGGGCCTGGATCATCGAATAACGGAGCAGAAGCCCCATCGCATCTGCAAAACAGGTCACATCGGTTGCTATGCGGAACAGCCAAGGTGGCCACTTCTCCTCGTCGGAGTCCGTAGATTTGGCTACTTCGAGTAAGCCATGCCAGAACTGCTTATTGTCAAGGCACGCCCACAACCGTAATACATGCATGGCATCCGTACTCTGACGTTCGATTGCGTCAAGAGATACTGCCCATGTAGTGGCGATACTTCCTTGGTCGTAGTCCGTCAGAGGATTATCAGATCCCATAAGCCTTTTCCATTGTTGATTGTAAATCTGGATGTAGGTAGCAACATCCATGCCTGTCTCGCGTAAGTACGACGCAGCTTGCGCCAAAGCCAGTGGTAGGCCTTGCAACAACTCTAGAAGGGTGTCGTAATCTGGGCGCCAATCTAGAACCAAAATTAGCGCTATGATAAGGACTAGAGTGTGAAGGGGGGTTATAGCTCACGCAGCTCTTGTCCATACCACGTCTGTAGAATGGCCCTGCTCTGATCTAGGTCGACGTTGGTCAAATGCTTTGAGCTACCCAGCTGTTGCAAGCGTAACAATCGCGTCGTTATCAAAATTGAACCCTGATCCCCAGGGAAATATTGCCGGATGTCATACGTCCCCGTTGCACCACCTTGCTGCTGATCTTGATCGACATTGTCAAAAATCAGCAGCCATTGAGTATTGCTCGGTCTAGCGAGCCACCCAATCACTTTCATCACCGCAACATCGAGACCCTCCTTGCTGTTAAGGTTCAAGTCTTTGCGGCTAGCGGACCGAAATTCAGGGATTCTGCCAAGGCATCTGGCGAAGCTCTGCCTCAATTGATCCTCCGACCGCCCATCTAGCCAGAATATTGCACTAAAGGCGGCCTTATGGCGACGGGCAAAGTCGATAGCTAGTTGTGTCTTGCCGATGCCGCCGAGCCCATGCAAAACGCATACCTTCCGTCGTTCGGTAGGGGGTTGCTGTGGCAAAAGACACTGCTCGAGCGCAGCCCTGTCGGCTGGTCTATCGACAAACTTGTCTGATACGGGCACGCCTTGTAGGCTAAAGTCGACTTGGAAGGAAGCCTGAACTATGAGACGTTGACGTCAGCATTTTGAGACCGCATGACAATGTGGTGGGTTGTATTGGAGATAAGACGAGAGTTGTATTATTGTTGTCTATTTCTGAGATGCACCCAATATCTGTAGCACGCCGGGCCTGATCCGTAACGACTAGAGCATGCTCCGGAAACATTGAACGTGACTTACGAGGATTCGGCGCTGGAGCGGCCTTCGTTTGCACTTCAGCGACGGGGAGCACCCCTAGCAACTCCCTCGCATACGCAGCCGCGGTGGCTGCGGCATATCTCTGCCATTCCTTGTTCTTGTGAGAATCGGAGTAGTCGCATATCCCCCGGATCGGTAGGCAGGGGAGAATATCCATAAGACCGGCAGCCTCCATCTCGAAACAGATGGCGTCCAGTTGCTGAGCCATGTTGTCTCGCTGGGTGCCGTTCCCCATGACTTGGTTGCCTGAGGCGATCGTGCCGTAATGTATTATCGGGTTATCCATGCTCCGCCTGCTTCGAGGTACCAGCTTCGAACCGTCGCATTCATCGCAGCTAGGTGCTGAAGACGTATGATCGTACGTCGAGGAAAAGAGGCGGTCAACCGTGATTGGGCGGCCGTACTTGGAGTGTCCGTCGAACTTCCTTTCTAATATAAGTGGGATTCGGCTACCGTCGCGCTCATGCCTTGCTTGTAGGGACGACACGGCCGTGCCGAGTAGGTGATGCGGGCTCTTCGGGATCGCAGTGCGCTGAGTCTGTCCGTCTCCGATAATCTTCCCTAGATCGTACTGCATCACCTTCGTCCCGACAACGACGTCGCCCAAACGCATATCGACCCTGCTCGGCACTCCACCTCCGATTCCCACCATCAAACCAAGGCGGATCGATGGGAACGTTCGGATGAGGTGGGTCAGCACGTTCGCCGCGTTGTTCGTTCCGTACTGGGCCGTCGGCAAACATGCAACGACGACATTGTGGCGCTGGATGTTGCCGAGCGTGTAGGTGTTGGTGTCGTTCGTATGCCTGGGCAGGTCTTGGTGGACGTCGTCTAGCATGGCGCGGGCTGCGGCCATCTCTATGGGTAGCGCACAGATCCAGGCGATTGTATACTGGTCGTGCGAAGCAGGTGACCCACTTTTTAGGTCGTCGTCTGGGGTTACAACGGGTTCTGGCGTCAAAGTGTCTCCGCCCACCAAAGCGAAGTGTCCACCTAGTTGTATACTACAAATGCTTCTTTCTTCGACGCGTAATTGTTGGTCGAGATGGGTGTCGCGGGATGGGAGATTCGGAACATTGTTGAGAGGAAAGGAAGGTACGCTCTTGGGCGCGTCGACGGAAATGAGGGGAAAACTCGACGCACGCATAAGGCTGCTACAGACGGCCCAGCAGTCGACCCCGTGCAGACACTGCCACCTGTTGCCGCCACAAGACCCTTGGACAGCCTCACGAGTGGAGGCATCGAAACCCAGGTCACGTTTTTGTGCTGGTGCGCGCTCCATGCAGAAACCCACCAGCGTGAGTGCGGTGGCTCCGCTGTTAGTCAAAAACACAGTGTGATTACCCCAGCGGTGGCCGATCCTCCCCACTCCCTGCAACAAGCCCAACACCAGGGACAGACAAGCGTCCGACTGTTCTCACGGTCCAACCGCGCCAACGGTCGGAGTACGATCCCACAAGACCATTAGGTAGGTACCCTATAGCTACCTAGACACCTATGATTTGTACTTGACCCACAAGCAATTCATCTAGATACTTCAAAATCACTTCTTAATTATTAGAAGATAAAGTATTCATGAAAGAGGTCTCACTCAACGTGTTGTTTCGGCTGGCCAACCAGTAGTGCGGAAGGGGAATGCCTATGCTCCTAACTGCGATGATATCGCGTAGCCTGCTATTCGAGGCCACTGGGTAATAACAGTAACGAGTGAATACATGAAACAAAGGAAGTGACGTTACGCAGTAGACAGGCTCTTCCTCGTTGGGAGCCTTTCTCCCCTTTCCACCTACCCACCGGTCATCGTCTTCCGACAAAGCCGCTCCCTCATCGTCTTTGTCGTAGGGCTCAGAGGTCTAGGTCCACCTCTGTACCGTCTTCTTTGGACAAGGATAAACTACGTATAGAAATCTCACCAGAAATGATTCGTCTAATCCATGTCGCACTCTTTCAATAGCAAAAGAGAACTGCACAAATGGTTCATCTTTCTCATAATTCATCAAATCAATTATGATGCGATCAAGTGTTTCTTACACAGCTGGAAGCGGACGCCGGCAAGCTTTAACTTAGTCTGGTAGTTATGTGCAATTGATCACCGTCAGCCTTGCGGGATGCAGTCTATGCTTAATCACCTCTTTAACCTTTCACATCGGCGCAAATCCCCACCTTGTCTGCTGCGATACAGGAGGAATGAGATCATGTGCTCGGTAAACCGACAAGCCAAAAAAATACGCTCTTCGAGGAGGCCAAGAACATGACCCAGAAATGGAGGCTCATTGAATGTTCAGCTCTACTCACTCAACTTCATTATTAGCTGGTTATGAGCAACCGGGCCCCAGGGATGCAAGGGCATCTCATTTACATTTTTGGGGCTCTGATCAGAAATCTTTGCTCTCTACTCCACCAGTGGTGCAACATGTGGCACAACTTTGACAGAATCCACACACACCAGGCTGACAATGGGTTGTTGGTCGTGGACATGCTTTAGAGCCAACAAAACTGTTGGCTCGCCTGTATAAAAAGGCCTTTTCATCCCTTCCTGATGTTCGTTTTCCTAGTTTTTGTTCTTTTTTTCCGCATTAATACCGAGTTTACTAGGCCTGCAGGCTAACTGTCCCAATCCCCATCCTGTACATGTAAGTATGTGTTACTATCACCAAATCCGTTGGGGATGTGGTTATTGGCGATTGGGTCGTTTCGGTGAGCAGTGCAACAGGGAATACCGCATAGGCCAGACTTGTGGCCTCATGCTGGTCTATGAGACCGAAGAACAACCTACAATTTGTGCAGTGTGCTGCCACATACAGAGGAAGCTTGGCCGTTACGATAAGATGTGGCATGACGTTCGCCGCTGGCAGCATGAGGGGGGAAAGCCTGCCACCGTTGAGCGAAGCTGCAAAGAAATGCGCGTGATACTCGAGGAGATTCAAGGGCTTAAAAACAATCACAACGCCCGCTGTCGGCCGTTGTTTCTTGGAGTATGCTCGTTCCTTCTCCTTCTCTTTTCGTTTTCGCTCTGTGCTTTCATTCAGTGGCTAATTTCATCTACGTTATTAGCGTACTACCGAGCCAGTGTATAAGAGATAGTCGCATACTCACAGGACACACCGAGGAAGAAGAAAAGAAACCAACGTGCCTATAAAAGTAGAAATCTCAATGCCAGTTTCAATCAGCCTGCCTACAGTAGTCCTTATCTTCCCCCTCATCCTCATCCTTGTAGTCGCCAGTTTTCGGCCACGATCTCGGCACTTGGGCCTTGGCCGCCAGTAATAATATTGCCAGTAGTGAGAGTGAAAGCGCAAGGCACCCCGTGGCCACCGACCACAATCAACAACGAATAACATACAGCTAACCTCTTGAGTTATTGCTTAACCAAGTTTATCCGAGAATGTCATGGCATTCTTGTTAGGCCATCGCCTAAATGCTGAATCTATGTGGGCTTTCCGTTACATGATACCATTTTGAGTTGGTAGAGCTGCTCATACAGGAGGGTATGTTCGTGGATGGAATACGATCGAGGGCCCTACACTAAGTGGCAGGTGAGAGTTTTAGTTCCTATCTATTCTGCAGCGGCGAACCGCCGCTCACCAAACATAACTAAGAAGGCTGGCCGGCTCGGCGGATGCCCTTCCCAGATACTGGAATGGATGGTTTGCAGGGGATCGGCTCCCCCATCCCCACCCAAAATCAGTCATATTACTCACGGGACATGTCGGTGCTGCGAACCAGCCCATTCATGCAGGCATGATGACGATACTCCACCCGCCTAGTACCAAAGAGTTCGACATAAGGACCAACTGCATATTCACAACCAACACTCTACAACCAACATTACCAATGGAAGACTTTCGAATACCTGGCCATGCCCTCGCCGCTCTGTCCTCCCATGCTTTCGGCTTTCTGTCGAGCGGGAGAAGAAAAAAAAACATTAGCCCTTTGTTCCCCTGTGCGACACAAGGTCTGGCCAACTCAGCTTCCGCTCTGCTTCTGTGCCCGAACTTAACCCAGCCAAAACCGCCTCGTTTGATATTTGAGCGAATACACTTGGAATCTATCAGCCCAAATAATGGCAGCGGAAGAGGGTGGTAGCGGACAAGTCCCGCCGCAACCCACCATCCGTCGAGTCTTTGGCATGATGAAGGCGTACTTGAACGAGTTTGAGAGGCAGACCCTCAACGGGTTCAAAACTCTGCAAGAGCAATACCAAGAGAAGGACGAGGAGATGAGTCGCTCGATTTGTAATGTCATGGACTCGTTCGACAAAAATTCAAGTCCAGGGGAAAGACAAAGCATTGAAGAGAAATTGCAGTCTCTACTGTCGCAGCGATGGAGTTTTCGGGCTGAGCACGAGGCCAACCAGGTAGAGGAGGAAGCGTGTGAGAAACGGCAAATGGAGCTGCTGAGGCCGCTCCAGATAGCTCTTTTCCATTCTTTCCCTGCTGGTAGTTGGGATGGGATGATGCTCCACGGAGCGGAGAATGTTCAGGGAGGCACAGGGCTTGAGGAGCAGCAGCCCGATGAAGTTATTCAACACACAGCTCAAGAGACACAAAGGGAGTTTGAGACAGTTATTGACGTCGCAATTGACGGAGGTTCATCGGCTGAGGGTGTTAACAGAGGGATTCACGATGAAGAACCTTGTGATGAAGCGCCGGGCCAAATCGGCCACAACGCAATGGCAGAGTCGAATGAGGTCCTCCCTGATGCTCTCCCTAGCAGCCGCATGAATGAAATTGATGTAGAGACTACTCATCACTCTTTAATGGAGGCTGAGGGCAGCGAAAGGAGGGCTATCGATATAGACTCCGAGTTTGAGCCTGAAGCCGATGATGATTCCGAAGAGGTTGACGATCAATCCACCCTAAGTGCGACGGTAGACGAAGAATTTCTTGTCCTAGGGGTAAGATATCTGTCGTTCGTGAGAAGGACCATTCACATGCTAATACGCTGATAGAGAAAAAGAAAGCTCTCTTATGCGAGCCGTCTCCAACCACGAAAGAAGCCTTGCCGGTGGAAGAAGCCACCCACCAAAGACCAGAGCAAGGAGAGAACTATCCGCTATAGAGAGGTATATGATAATACTATTGCTGGACACAAGGAGACCATTGTTCAGTATCCTGCCAATAAGGGTCTATGGTATATAATTCGATGCGAGGAACACGGACTTAAATTTGGAGGTAGCAATCCACTCATGGATGCCGCATTTCACTTGGGCAGTCTCCAGCACGATAAATACTCAAAAGCCTATAAGGATGTTATCGATCAGATGGGCATACGAGTCAAGTACTGTACGGCGAGCCGTGCAGAGCAAAACAATAACGCTTTCACGAAAGAAGCTGTTCAGAAGAACTCACCAACGTCGATGGATCGGACCACAGGTGGCAAAGACGAAGACAAAAGGGGCGGACAGGCTTTTGGAAGCCGAAAGGCAGCCTTGATGAGCGACAAAGCCGAAACATCTCGGAGTAGTCAGGACACAGAAGATGACGTCTACGACGACAGAGGGTCTAAAACGTCAAAATACGACGATACTAATGAAGGCAACGAAAGATTGTATGTACGTCGTCAACCTGGCGACATATGCCTCGTCTATCTTGGGGGAGAGTATATCCCAGTTCTCGTCCTTCCTTTTGACAATATGCTTGAAATTGGAATCAATGGCGACCTCAAGACGCTGAATCTGGTCCAGCTTATGCCTGACTGCTGTATCTATGACCTGACCACGGGAAAATACAGGTGGAAAAAGGGATATGAGGATGGTGGAGCGTTCGAATCGTCTCGAGCGCACCCTGGTCTATGCTTAACTCACAACACCCTGGAGACGTGTCCTCCAGTGTGGGTAAAAGGAACAAACCTGGGAAATTTTGATCTAATGGACCCTGTTATCATGAAGCAGGAGTATTACCAGCCATTATTGCGCCTCATACAGCAGGCTGATGTGAACAGATCAGCCATCTTGGCGAATGTTGTAACAGAGCCAGGCAGCCGACG